CCAGGGGAAGATTGATGACAAGGACCTTCCTCCAGAACTGACAGAGAGAAAGCCATCCCCTGGAGCTGGCACCCTGAATTAAGACTTCTAGCCTACTAGATTGTGAAAGAGTAAGTCTCTGTTTGTTAAAGCCATCCACTTGTGGTATTTCTGTTACAGCAGCACTAGATAGCTAAGACAATTTCCCAGCCTTCTTATATTTATTCTCTATTTATGGATGCCTTGGCTGGTGTAAACAGTTAATGCAGTCAGCTGCTAACTGAAGGTTTGGAAGCTGGAGTCCACCCAGAGGTGCCTTGGAAGAAAGGCCTCCAAAAAATCAGCCACTGAATACCCTATGGAGCACAGTTCTACTCTAACATATATAGAGTTGCCATGAGTTGGAGTCAACTTGACTGCAACTTTTTTTTTTTAATTCTAATAATGGAACAAATAACACTCAACATCATAGACTATTAGATTCTAAACCACACTTTTTTTTAATATTTATCTTTTTAATTCCTGCATTCTTTATTACTTTGTCTCTGATGCAGAAATGCCACACATTATGCTCATAGATAAACCAGTGGCTTGTGTAGGGCCACAATAGACTCCCGTGAATAATGATGATGTTTCAATCATTATGTTTTACTGAGGGAGCACATTTTTGGAGGCAGAGGGAAGAAGGAGGCCCAATTACCTCCTGTGAGTTCAAAAAATACATTTTTTAAAAGCAAAGAAACATTTACATTCCTCTTTCTTCTCTCTTCGTCTCTCTTTCAGTCTGTCTCACTTTCTGTATTTTTCTGTCACTATAAATTCTTCCATCTGTGTGTGTGTGTGTGTGTGTGTGTGTGTGTGTGTGTGCATTTAAGGAAGAATTCCTGTGGGCTCAAGGCAGGCTCTGATGGGGCCCAGGTCTCAGACCTACGGAAGAATCGAGATTTCCATGGTGCATTCCAGATCAATGGCCCCTTCCTCCCTTGGTGTCCCTGACAGCTCCACACATGCCACTCTTGAAGATTGAATGAGAAGGAATCACACAGAAATGAAAGAGAGAGAAGGAAAGGCACAAACTCTCCTAAATGTGGCCATCTGGAAGCATGGACGTTTCTAAGTGCCTCAATGTTAATTCCTAAATATGCTCAGATGCCTGATATGTGGAAAACACGTTGGGTGCTGTCTGCACAGAGGTTCTGCCCAGTGCCTCAGCCCCAAGGGGCCTATGAGCTGATAGGGAAGTGAGTCCTTTGAGAGGACATTCAACGTCTTTCTAGAACTCGAGTGTATAGATAATTTTCCACATTTATTCTTAGGAAACCTTCACAGAACCCTGTGAGAGGGTGTTAGATGAGATCCCTGGATCAGAGGGCTCTGACCCAAGGCCCAGGGCATGCAGCCCGTGTAGCAGTGCCAAGGTTCATACCACCAGCACCCTTTTCTTCCCTGTGGTTGTACGTCAGCTGTTGCAGCTCCCATGGCCTGCAGGTTTTTGTAAAATAGAGGATCCTTCTTTGATACAAAGTCTTCATTTATTGCATGCTTCCCGGGGCCATGTTTGTTTTACTTGCTGTTTCACACATGACCTCATTTAGTCCTCACCACGTTGCCCTTTGAGGTAGGGGACATGTGAAGAAACTGGCTTAGAGAGGTGATTGGCCCACGCCAGCTCCTTCGGCTTGTCTCTCCCAGAGCTGGGGTGAGAGCCGGGTCTGTCTGATCCCCAGCTGTCTGCAACTCCCCATTCCTGCACTGAGGGTGGGGCAGCACCCAGTGTGATTTGGAGTTGGGGGAGTGGCGTGAGCATGTGGGCCACAAGCGCTGAGATGTTAGGTTGGAAGAACCAGCTCTGGCAGAGCAGAGAGGTCATTCTCCTTGAAGTCAGATAATGCAAAATCTGAGTCCTGACCCAGTGATGGACTAAAAACACCTAGCTTCTCTGTGCCTCACCTCCTCTTGTAAATAGGAGTAATACCAATACTGAAGTCCCTGGACTGTGAGGAACATGGGGATATGTACCCAGCTTAATGCATCAGTCTCCTAGGGCTGCTATAAGGAAATACCACAAAGTGGGTGGCATCAAACAGCAGATACCTATTGGCTCACAGCTCTGGAGGCCAGACGTCCGAATCGGTGTGTCCACCGATCAGTGCTCTCTGAAGGCTCTGGGGGAAGACCCTTTCTTGTCTCTTTTGGCTTCTGGTAGGCGTTCCTTGGCTTATAGATTCATCTTCACATGGCTCTTCTGTCTCTCTGGGTCTTTCCTCCTCCTTTATAAGGGCACCACTGAGGGTGGATGAGGACCCATCCTGTTCAGCTGTGACCTCATGTTAACTGATAACATCTTCACAGACTGTATTTCTAAACAAGGTCATGTTGACAGGTATCAGGGCTTAGGACTTTCTGGGGCACACAATTCAATCCACACAGCCAGCAATAGTACTTTTCTCTGTGCCTTTTGTTCTGTAGGCACGTTTGCCTCTGACTCGTCTTCTGCTTCTCTCTTCCACTTGTAAGGTCCCTTGTAAGTACATTTGGCCCACCTGGGATGATCCTTTCACCTCAAGGTCCATAACCTAATCACATCCGCAAAGTCCCTATTTTAAAACAAGGCCATTTTCACAGATACCAGGGGTTAGGATTTCAGTACATCTTTGGGGGTAAGTAGAACAGCTGTGGTGCCAGCCATCAGGATGTATGCACCCGTGGCCCCCGCAGCTGGGTGTGAGCATGAGTCGTGGAAAAGGAGGAGATGTGGCATTGCCGGGGAAGCACCACATGGCTGTGACCAAGCACTGCCAGGCTGCTGCCTTCACTCTCTGTTTTCCCTGTCATCTCAGCAGGCAGAGGGAGGTGGCTTCTGCCTGCCACACCCACCTTCATGGGCAGTTCTTAGAAGCCCGAAGCCCCAGTTGGCATGGTAGTCATGGCGAGACTGACAGGCTCTGTGATTAGCTTCCAAATTCAGAGAGGCATCCCAGGGTGATAGAAGATCATGCTCAAGAAAGTGTGGAAGCTGGGCATGAAAAGGCTTACCACCCAGAACTAGGGAGAGACGAGAAGGGGAAGACTAGCAAATGATGCAGAGAGGGAACAGGCTGAAGCAAACACAGTCTGGCAGGTCCCAGGCATTCCTTGCAAACATACTTTGAGGCAGACTGGTCCTCCCTCGGGGCTGCCATCCATTCCCCTTCCTTCCCCTGATCCCACACATCTAATTAGAGACCTTGGCAGTGGGGCAGGTCTCAATTCTAGATGCCCAATGACAGTTCCCCACATTATTCATTAACACTTAATCACCTGGATAGCGCTTTCGTCCAGTGTCAGATCTTCTCTGAATGGGTCCGCCTTTCAGGTATGCTTTTCTGACCTCCTCAGAGAACTGTTGGATTCCTAGGAAGTGCCCTTTGACCCTTTGTTGCCAGTCTCAATAGTTCTAGGTCCACAATCCTGAATCTGCAATTCTTAAATCTAAACAGCTCTGAATATTAAAGTTTGTTGTTTTCTTTTTTTCTGCCCCCCTCAGTGTTGTTTTTTTCCTTTGTCTCAAACTCATTTGATGTAAGCAAAACAGAAATTGATGTGAGGTGGAGGCATGCGTCTCTCTGGCTTAGTGCACAGATGCATGCTTTGCTGCAGAATAATGCTGTGTTTGTGTTGGGAGCTGCTCTGGGCCCAGCTGGGGGCATTGAGTCACATGCCTTTCCAAAGCTGAGAAATGCTTAGTTCCAGAGCACAGATGAACCCCGGGGATGGAGACAGGATGGGGGTCTATCCTTGAGTCTGGCCTGATTATGGTGTGCTTACTTATAACCGGAGCCCTGGTGGCGCAGTGGTTAAGAACTCAGGCTACTAACCAAAAGGTCTGCAGTTTGAATCCACCAGCTGCTCCTTGCAATCCCTAGGGGGCAGTTCTGCTGTGTCCTCTAGGATCGCTATGAGTCAGAATCGACTTGACAGCAGTGGGTTTAGTTTTTGGGGGGTTTTATTTATAACCAGTAACCAGTTGCTGTCCAGCCCATTCTGACTCATGGTAGCCCCATGTCTGTCAGAGTAGAATTGTGCTCGGTGGGGTTTTCAATGGCTCACTTTTTGGAAGTAGATCACCATGCCTTTCTTCCCAGACACCTCTGGGTAGACTCATACAGCCAACCTTTTGCTTAGCAGCCAAGTGCTTTAACTGCATCACCCAGGGACATTCACACTTACTTGTAGGGGCTGTTAAGTCCAAACCTCTCAGCCCTGAGGCCCAAACTGGGCAGTCCCAGTAATACCCAGTGGAGGGTGTGATCCCACCCAAGCTGCCTCTGCAGATCTGCAGCCAGGGAAAGGCTGGTGAGTGTGGTCCTTGCTCTGGGAGAGCCTGTCTCGAGGAGATGCATCCGTGTCTGAGGTTTAACGATGCTAATGGAGTCCTCACCCACACCCACATGCCCTGATTCAGTGTTAACCACTGAGGCCAGGTAGTTGCATTGTTAAGTTTTGGTGTCAGAAACACTATTCCTGCAACAAAATAAGAATGCAAATCTGAAACCTTTTCCATAGCAGCGATTGAGCAGTTACCAGGCTGCTGCATATTGCTGTTTCGTGGGGGTAAATATTCTGCATCTCTCCCGTCTGTTTCTCATTCCAGTGGAAGTAAGTGGACTTATTTATTTTTTTTAAGTTTCCTTATAATGGAAAACTTTGAAAGCAAAAACAGTCATTCATTTGGCTTGAAGTAACCCATCAAGCTGCAGAAGTGGAAGCCTTGGGGCACTCCATGGCCAGAATGATCTCTGATGCTACCATCTGAGTGTGGCCATGGTTACAGCAGAGATGTCAGTGTGATTATTACGGTTTTCACAGTCATTTCAGAAGGATTATTACTTCCATTTTCCTTATATTTTGTAGATCGCAACCCAATTATGTAAATAAATGTCTGGAGCCCTTTTTGGCTTGAATTTACCTAGTAATTTCTTACGGGAAATATTAGCAGGCAAGCAAGCAAAGTGCCACTAACACTGTTGTCTGTGTGTCAGTCTTGGACAGATCACTATCTGCGATGGAATATGTCAGAGTACCCGGGCGTGAAGACTGTCCGTTTCCCAGATGGCCAGATTTGGAAACCAGATATTCTTCTCTATAACAGGTAAGCAGAGTGGACAAGAGGAAAAGCAATTTCGTATGTGCATATGTTTAGCATCCTGACATGCTGGATGAGTTGTCCATGAACTGGGACCATTGCTCCCTGTGGGGTTTTCTAAGTGCCCAGGCCTTTGGGAAGCAGTGGGACAGATCCCACCCTGAATGCAGGCTCACCCCACCTGGTGTGCTGCCTGAGTTGGCTACATCTGCAGGGTTGGGTGCTGTAGGCACCTGGCAGTATTTCCATGCACATGGGCACTGGAGGCGTTCTTACATGAGGCAGGGCACACTCACTGAATGTCAGCCAGTGTGGTCAGTGGCAGGGGCAGTTGCTGGTCCCTGGGTTGCCCTGCTGGAGCCCACTCTTTGGACCTAGTCCCTCGGTTGATACATCCTCCTGTGCATTGGGAGAGTTCTGCAGCGAAGACAGCTGAGTGGGTGAGGACTTTCTTTTCTGGCTGCGTGTGGAAGCTTGCAATGCATGTTGTGTGCCTGACAGAAAAAAAACGTAGATGAGGGAATGTTCTAATAGTCCTTCTCCTGAGGCCACAGAATAAGGTATTAATCAGCCAAGCAAGGCAGTCTGAAATGGAGACCAGACCCCTCAAAGACAGAAATCCAGGCAAAGTAGATTTCTAGAAGCCATGAAAGTCTTTTTAAACCATCAGGCCTAATAAGCGAATCTACAATATCTCCTTCCAGTAAGGTCTAAAATGTGATAAACCAGTTGCTGTCCAGTCAGCTCTAACTCATGGCAACCCCACGTGCGTCAGAATACAACTGTGCTCCGTAGGGTTTTCAGTGGCTGATTATTCAAATATAGATTACTAAGCCTTTCTTCTGAGTTGTCTCTGGGTGGACTCAAACCTCTAACTTTTTGGTTAGCAGCTGAGCACATTAACCATTCGCACCATTCAGGAACTCCATGAGATGCAATAGCCAGCTTAATACAAAAGACAATTATTTTCCAATGGTGATTGCTGTCTTTGACCCCACTCGGAGCAGGGAGGCAAGCCTTCCTGACTCAGAAACAAACGTGCTACCATCAGCCACTGCCCTGAATGGTCATGCAGTGATTCCCCTCGACCACTTGACATGTTTGTCCTGCACTATTTCCAGAAGGCTGGTGATTTCAGTTTCTTGTATTGACTTCTCATTCTCTCTCTGTGTTTGCTGCTGGTGGTCACATTTCACTTGAATCATTGGGGCTGTCTCTAGAAGAATATCACTTTCTGGCTTACTGCCACTATTCTGCTCTTTAAATTAGATCAGACAGCCAAGCTTTGAGAAATGATGTCTAAGGTAAGAGTGAGTGGTCCCAGAGTAAGGAGGTGAAGCACAGGGCTTGCATGCCTAGGCTTTGGGTCATCTGTTTCCTGGAGGTATTCCTGGGGACATTGACTGCTTAAGGGCAACGGATTAGGCTGGGACAAGTCAAAGTGTGTGTCTTACCTATGATATTTACTATCTCTGTTACCTTTGAGTCTCAGATTCTTCCTTTGCAAAATGGGGGACATGCCAGCTTCACCAAGGTTGGAAAGGTAACTCTTTGAATGTACATAGTAGGTTTTGTGTGGTGGTTGACAAAGAGTTAACATTCAAAATGGTAGTTGTGTGTTTATAGGCATGATGATGATTTCTGCTTAGAGTAAGATGGTATGACAATTTCAAAAGAAATAGCAATACTGTTTTTCCATAGTTTCCAATTCAGTTTTTTTCATTTAAAATCAAGAATAAGTTATATATATGGTGGAATCTCTTTAATAGTGAGTCTGTACCAAAAAACAAAACCCTTAGCTATCAAATCGATTCCAACTCATGGCAACCCCATGTGTCACCAAGAAGAACTGCTTCATAGGGTTTTCTTGGCTGTGATCTTTATGGAAGCAGATCACCAGACCTTTCTCCACAGTGCTGCTGGGTGGGTTCAAACTGCCAAGCTTTAGGTTAGTATCTGATTGCAAACCATTTGTGCCACTTGTGGGCCTATAATGAGTCTATAAGAGATGATTTTTATGGCTTATGTATAAGACCGTAAACTACAACAAATGTTTAATGATTCTAATGTTTTGGTTAATGAAGAGTTACCAAGTGTTTTATATATAACTGAACCTCAAGGAGCAAAGGTATACCAGAATCTCCCTGACAAATGTCGCCAGGGACCAGACCCTCAGGGATAACACCCCTCCCTCACCGTGGTCCAATTGATGGTCACAGAACTCCGTTCCTTTCACATCTCCCCTTGAGATCTACTTGAAGATCTTCCTCTTGCCTCTTCTCACCATATTCCTATTGACCACATCCACCACACTCCATCATGGAGTCTGTAGAGGCTGCTTCATTGAGAGGTAAGACTTCCTTTCTGAAGGAACTGGTAAACATTGTATACCCACATGAGCACAGTATGGAAAAATACCTAAGAGAAAAATATTTAAGCCAGTCATACACAGTGTGACAGTTATCTGTATAACAAACTACTCCACTCTCAGTGACTTAAAAAAAAAAAAAAAAAGACAACAACTATTATGTTATTTCTCATGATTCTGTGGGTTGACTGGGCCCATATGGCTGGTTCTCTGCAGGGCTGGCTGCAGTGAGAGCTCAGCTGGGGCTGCCCACTCTAGCACCTCTGTTTTCCTCCACAGGCCTTTTCCACATGATGAGGGCTTCTCACAGCATGGTAGCTGTGTGGAGGGTGAGTGCTCCAAGAGGAGAGAAGTGGAAGCTGCCGGGCCTCTTAAGGACTGAGCTTGGGAGTCCTGAAACACCACTTCCACCACCTTCTGTGGGTCAGAGTAGCCACCACCGGCCCAGGATCAGGGAAAGAGAGATAAGCCAAATGTCTCCAGTGGGGAATGGGTGATCATGAGCGTGCGAGGAGGGAGAGAAGAGATGGCACCATCTGTGGGGACTAGCTAGCACACATTAGGAAAGGGAAGTGGTAAGAACTGGTAAGGTCAGGTTAAAGACTTGCAGGAGACAGGCAGGAAGACCAGAATAAACACACATGATGAAGGTTGCAGGCTGAAAGGAACACTAAGCTGAGTGCATTTTTTAAGAGAGGTTGAGTAGACAAGAAGAGATCATTTCTAAACATACATCTGATCTTGTTATCCCCCGGCTTAAAGTCCACTCACAGGCTTCCCTTTGCTGTCTGGATAGAAGAAAAAAGTCATAGCCCACGGGTTTGTATGGTGTGGCCCTCACCTCCAGCCCTGACATACCCCTGTTGCTCTCCAGCCCAGCTGTTTGCTTCTCAGGTCACTGACATGCCGACATTCTTCCCACAGGACCTTTCCATGGGCTGCCTCTCTGAGAGGACCATTCACGCCTTCCTCTCATCCATCTGACCCAGCTCGACTCCCAGTCCTCCAGAGAAACCGTCTCTGACCCCCTTACCACCTCCGAGTCTAGTGTCCACTGCCTCTCATGGGCCCTGGCATAAACCCATTATGATGCTATGGGACAGAGTAGAATTGCCCCATAGGGTTTCCAAGGCTGTAATCTTTACAGAAGCAGACTGTCACACCTCTCCCCCTGGGAGCAGCTGGTGCGTTTGAACTGCCGACCTTTCTTTTAGCAGCCGTGAGCATAACCAGCCTTGTACTTAAATATTTGTGCAGAAGTAAGATGGAGGGAGGGAGGATGTAGGAATTAAAAGGACGAGTGCGGAGGATGCATCAGTGTACCACAGTGCTGCTAAGAATAGTAAGAAAAGGAAAAAATAAAAGGAAAGAAGTAATATTGGCAGCATAGAAAACACTGTTAATCTATGATTGTGTCAAAAACATTGACATGGTAAGTAGCAAAAATAGGATTGAATTTAATAGGATCCTAACCTTCTGATGTTCTTTTATTGGGGATTTTGGGAGATACTGAGTTCAGTAATTTTGCCAGCTTCTAGGCACTCAGAGTAACGTTATCCTCAGCAGTGCATTAATGTGTGGATGCAGGGGACCTTTCCCTAAAGGAGAGAAGATGCCAGCATTCTGTGCCAGTCATGGCTTTTCAAGGAGTGTTGGTTTGGGTTGGGAAATGCATCACAAAGGTGTCTGTCATTTCTTGCTCTGTTCCCCTTTGATATTTTCAGGAGTCTGTGTGTGAGTCACTGATGGTTTTTGAGATGTAATGCATTTCCTGTGCTTTAAAGAGGCTGGGTCATTGCTAACAGCCATCCCTGCATCATTTCTGGGATGGGCTGCTTTATTTCCTTGATGGATGGTGAACAAGTGATGGTCTGTGGGCCAGCTGGCAGCTTTGCTTGGAGGAGAGGACAGGCACTAATAAAAGCTTCCCTGCCTTAATGCTGATCCCAGTGCTTTTCCGGCTGCTTTATTCTGCTTTTCTCTAAGCCTGCAGCTCAAGGATTTGTCTGAGCACAGTTCTGCCCAAAGTGAGTAGCAATTATGGATGGCCTGTCATGGTTTTCCCTTTGGGTGGAATTAAACACCTTGCTGGTATCAGCAGTCCGATCACAGGGGCAAGGTGCTTCGGCCTCCCTGGGCCTCTCCTTGTTTGAGCTCCTCCATCAGAAGCTTCAGTAACAATAATGGAATCTTTTTTTGATGAATATATTTGAAGATGTTTTTATGGGTTCTGTATATTTATGACAGCGTGGGGCGTCAGCCATCCCTTTTTAGCAGATCCAGAAGCTGCATTTTCATGTATGCAGGCTCATAAATAGCTCGAGAGTGCTGTTCTCTGCTACAGCCCTTTCTTTCACGTGTGTCCATGACGCCGCGGTCAGGGACAGAGTTTGCGGGGAGGGGCAGTGTATGCAGGACACGTTTAGGTGGAATGTGATCCTGCATTCAAGGGTTTGCGATTGCATTCATCGATGGCTCCGATGAAACACCATTTATTCCCTTCCCTAGAGTTTTAGGTTAGGTTCTCCCGGAAGACAACCCCAAGATAAGGATTTCAGTGCAGGTAGTTTATTTAGGAGGTGATCCTGGGAAGTGCTGTTAGGGGAGGGGACAGGTGATAGGGAAGGGAGGGAAGTCA